TGTTCAGTGTGCTGTAGTGGAAAAAGTCCAGCTGTCAGCTTGAGTGTTCGATGCTCCGTGTCACAACTTCCTGCCTTTTTTTAAGGAGAAATGCATTTTTTCTTTCATTATACTTTCAAAATGTGCTGAAATGTTTGAAAGATGAAATGCTCTCCGGTGTCAGGAGTTGAGGGTAGCTTTGAAGTTGCTGTTGCTCCGCCCTCCTCTTTGTCCTCAGCTCGTCTGTGATTGGTCGGAGCCTCGATTTGCGTCGATCTGCAGATCGGCCGAAGTGCCAAAACTTAACCCTCCTCTTTGTCCAAGTCATCTCTTGGTTTTGGCAAACATTGTTGTAGTTTCAAACAATGAGAGGCCGACTGATTTTCTCCCTCCGTCACTCTTACCCCTGAACCCCCTCACACCCCCTCACCCCCACCCGTTCGTTAATGAAAGGAGCTATTGTCTCCGGCCCGGATAGAAGAACTCGTGCTGTACTTTTCCCCTTTCAGGTCTTAAAAATCCTAGCATACTCAAACAAAAGCAGATTGTTACGTAAAGTAACGGCACACTCAGCTCGTTCTGTTGTTGTTCTTTAAACCGGATCTTTACAAACCAAAACCTCACAAACAAACTATTTGTTAAAAAGTTCTTTTAAAGCTGTTCTGCAACATGAACAGGTGTAATTTGTGTTTCGCTGCTGATTCCAGGCTGGACATCCATCAAAGCCCCACCTCTCTCTACCTCCACTGCCCTCCTTCTCTTCCCACCAGCTCTGACCGCTGACCATCACTCTGCGTGGAGGAACTGTCACAATAGCTCGTTGTGCTGCTGGGGATTCATTTGCCTGCATGAACCTGCCCTTCTGTATCCATGGAGCACGGACGGTAGCTTTGAGCCTGAAGGTTTTTTTTATTTATTTTTTGAGCAGAAAGAATAGAACGAYCCGAAGCCGTGGCTCGATTTGAAGAGAAAAGCGCCGTGCCGTCCCGCTCCTGCGGAGGATCCCCAGGAACGGGACGACTGCAGAGACGTGTCGGCACGTCCAAGACGGAGGACGGCACCTTCGATAGCTTCGAGCTGCTCCTCAGCGGAGCCGTCGATAAGGTCAAAAGCCATAAAAGTAACCTCAACCTTAGTAAGTTTGTCAACGTCCAAATCAAATACTTTAGAAATGAAAGTTAAGACTCGTTGCAGATTATTTATCAGATTAGTAGAGAAATAATCTGATAATATTAGATAAATCTTATTTAAGTAGCTCAAACCTATCTCTAAGTAAAATAATGTGGAGTTTTAAAGAAAACCAATGAGTTGACATGTCCTCATGTATGTTTATCTCTTAGAATTATAGCAAAGTATGGTTAATCCTGCTGTCATAATTTCTGTTAGACCATAATAAGGGAAAAAAAGAAAAAAAACTGCAGGGATTAACAGCCATTTTGGGCAAAAATGTTATTGCTTTTTGACCAAATTATAATCTCCTTTTTATCTACATTCCACACCCTCGATAAAAATAACTCGCGTCTCTTTGATGTTTTTTTAAAAAGTATAAATRAAGCCAGAACATAGATAATGTGGTGGAAAAAAGCCTTTCCATTCTGTTAAACAAAGTGCCGAAATACATTATCAACAAAGTTCTTCGCTACAATGATCTCTGAGTAATTTTATTGCAATAAAATGAGAGTCAGCATGCATACAACAATAAAAGTTGAGTCTGAGGACACAGCCCCAGTGAAGCATTTTTTATACCTTTAGTAGAAACCAAACAAACAAACCAAAACTGGTTATTTTTCACATGCAAGGAGTGGTTCTTATCTGAGCAGCAAAATTTCCTAGTTTCAGTTAAAACTTGTTCTGTGGTCCTTAAACAGAGGAAAACACCTTAGAATGTGGTTATACTTCGTATTTCATCGTCTCTTACATGTTCACATTCCAATAATAACAAAACAAATAGTTCTGCAATCCAGTTGTGCAGAAACTACGGGTGTTTGTGTGTGAGGTTTAAGCTGCAACAACAAGAAATGACTCTTTAAAGGTGCTCTAACATGAAAGAAACATAATTGAAATACATTCAAAACTTAAATATATGGGTGACAATTTAGTTTTCCTTCACAATAAGGTCACCGTTATTAAAACTGACATCTGCCTCGACATTTAGCCGACCCTCCTGTGCTGCAGATAAACGGTCYGGTTCGAGCCCTCCCATTGGTCAAAGACACGCCGTGATAAGTTACCTCATGATGAGAATTTCAAACAGCAGACAGCAAATCCAGTTTTAGTGTATCGACAGCTTTATTAATATGGTTTCCGATGCAGAGGGCCTCTCTGGAGCAGGGGTGTGAGAGTGGTCCATCTATCTTTTCTGTGACACACAGAGCACATCGTATCATCTTGTTGTACTCGCTGCCCTATTTCTACTGAAAGCCTCGTTGCGCAACAGAGTGCCCTTTTGTTTTAGCTGTGCGACACCGACAGGACACTTGAAGCAGAAAGTTGTCTAAATATAGCTTTGGTTTTAAATGTTTTCTCCAGCAGTGTTTGGCCTACACTACCCAGGATGCACTGCGACTTATTTATATTTGTCTGTTGAACTTGAGACTTGGGGGCAGCCCGACGAACATTAAGCTGCTTAGAGTGTTAACTTCTGACCGGCCTCTTGTTTACACTCTAAATCTGTCGTTTCTAAAGTTGGAGTCGAGATGTCTTCAGGTGATCTCCAGAAATTTCCATTTAATTGAAAAGCTATTGTTTATCACTGTGATTGTTTACTAGAAATAAAACGGTCATAAAAGAACGAAACGAAAGTTTCATWAAAACCCATTCAGTGGTCCTAATTCACTTTTCTTTCCTGCTGATAAAAAGGCTGTATTGAGTTCTCCACTCTCCTGGCCATGAAGCTGCTGAACTGGAGATCTGCAGCTCCACCTACAGAAACAGGTGGATTAGAGAAGTCCTGAGTTAGAATGACCTGRAATAACTTTCTGTCCTGTTAAAGGTTCAGAAAACAGTGATGTGGCTTTCCATAGTCTTATTTCTTAYTTATTTTGTACCTTGTTTGTCTTCTCCTGTTTGTCTTCATTAGTTCCTCCTGTGTAGAAGCCAGGATGAGCGGTGTTTGTTTGTTGTTGATGTAAAATGTTGAATGAAAGAATGACTTTATGTGCTTTATTTAATAAAAATCGTGTTTCAGTAATTCAGGAAATTATCTGCCAACAACAGTTGGGTTTCCTTCAAAAGGTTGTAGTTCCATTAAAAGTGGTCTATGACATATTTTACTGACAGAGCTGACTCCAAATACTAAAAGACCAACATTTATCTAACTGAGTTAAAGTCATTTTAATGTTGGCTGAGGTTGAAGAGCGGTGGCAGCCATCTTTAATTGAGTTACTCCAAAAGTCAAGTAGTTGTAGATGTACATTTAGTGAGTACTTTCTCAGAGTTTTATCAAAAACAAACACAAAGACAGGAACCTGCCTTTAGCCTTTTGACAGTGAGAAATAATAAAAACAAGTTTAATCCTTRTTGTATTTTTTAGCACTAGTTTTTGTTTGTAGGTGAGAAGCTAAAAAAGGCCTGTGAGCCACGGCTGAAATCATTTAGTCACTTTCCACAGAAGAGATCCGGTGCAGGACACCATCCTGAAAGGTTGAAAGTGCAGCTGGAGTCATATTGCAAAAACAAAACACAGGATTGATTACACCAGATTGGTTTGTTGTTCTCAGGAGACTTTCTGAAAAGACTTGTGTGTTCCCTCAACTGCTTTTTGTTGTTTTTAATCAGAAACGCTAGAATGAAAAATATTTGTCTGAAACATGACACGTTTTATGAATATCTAAAGACAGGTCAGGGTCCAGTCTCTGAGCTGCASGAGCTTCAAACAGTAAATGTTTTATTAGCATTAATGGAAGAAACGAGAGCAAACACTGAGGCTGACAGTTAAACTCTAAATATGTTTCCCATCGCATCAAAACAAGGATTAAATTTAAAAGTGGTTTATGGAGAAACAGGCAAACATAGGATTTTGATTAAAGCACTAACAAAATTGAATTTCTTTAAAAT